TCTGGGCTCTCCTTACCTTCATGAAGACTTCCAGACCCTGGCCCTTTACCAGTGCCTCACTGGGGGGGCCCTTGGATGTCTCAAGATGAGACAGTAGTGGTATTTTGGTTATAAATTTCAGGCAAGTCAGTCATATTCCTACTATGGGTGGTTCCTACTTGAGGTTTATTTTTTTGCTCATGTTTGTAATGAGTTTTTTCCTTATTGCAGAAGCCACATGTTGCAAAGCTAATGGAACATTTAAGAAATATAGTCAAGAAAATAAAATTACCTGTGGTCCTACTTCATGAGATAGCCACTAATACTTTCTGCATGTATCTTTTTTCTATTTATATATGTGTGTGTGTGTGTGTGTGTGTATAAATATGAACTATCATAGATGTTTCCATGTCAATAGCTATGTATTTTTATGGCATATTTAATGTCAAAAACCATATTCCTTCATTGGGACCAAAGAGTAAGTTTAAAAAAAGAAAATTCCAAATGACGTTGTGCATACCATGTCCTTGCCTCGTGGCTTTTCTGACATCTGACTGCATTTTGCAGACCAAATTTTTTTTTTTTACTTCTTTTAGAACTTTAATAAAAGTTTTTAATGTAATTCAGAGAGTTGAATGGGTACAGAGGACCTCCTCTCCACCCCACTGTTGATCCTGAGCCTCACCAGTGAGATGAGCACGTACGTGGACAAGCAACCCTTTGATTTTTCTCCTTATCTCCTGCCCCTTGTGAGCCTTTGGTTCCTCATCCTCAGGACAGACCAGTGGGGAAGCACGTGATTGCTCTGAATGACAAGTCAGCCAAGTGCTGCACTCCGGAGTGAATGTGTCCTCACTGAGGCAGAAGGAGAGGCTCAGCAGGAGAGAAGCTGGGGCCCAGCAAAGAGCCACATGCAGACAGAGGGGCCAGGAGGTCTGTGGCCCACCTCTGGGCTTGAACTGTTTCCCTTCCCAGGTGCCCCTCTCCTGCTTAGCACCCACCAGATCCTCCTGGCCTTCCCGGGATCCCCACCCTCAGGCCTCCTGATGTACTGGTGGCCATGCCTTTCACTGGGTGCTCAGCCTCCGGTGCCTCGCTGTGTCCGTGTGTCTGTCTACCTGTCGAGTGCACCAGCTGTTTGAGGCTTGGTCCCCATCACTTCTTTGTACTTCCCACAGTGCTCGGCACAGTGTAAACTTTCAGGAGAGGGTCGTCGGTTAATTTGTCTCTGCAGTTTCCTTAACTGGAATCTGTATCCCCTGTGAGTCATTTTTTTTTAACAAAAAACAAAATGACAGCTCCCTTTCATTCTCAGCATTTAAAGATTTTTCTTCAGGGCCAGCCCCGTGGCGCACTGCTACAGTGTGCCGCTTGGGAGCGCGGCGGCGCTCCCGCCAAGGGTTCGGA